GATTTTAAAACATGAGTGAGCTGTTCTACCATCCGCCAATAGTAATGATATTATTCCACTTGACGGAACATTCAGTACTATATCACCTCGACATCGTATGGAAGTTGATAATGTTCTCCAGACATACGTCTTGCTAGTTCTTGCATATTTGTACAGAAAGAAAATTTTGCCTGCATTTGTATCAACAGACTGCCTTATAGCTTTATACGCTACACGTTGTTCATCGTTCAGTGAACCCAAAAGTCAGGTGTGCTCACTTGCGAATGATATTCGATCATATTGCAATTCATCAAAAACCAATTGATTGGCTGAAGTCCAAATTCTATGGAGGTTTGCTTGAGGCATATCGGTATAATCGTGAAGGCTCTTGCCACGGCTGCTCAGCTAGTCTTAGAGATCACATAGAATATAATTTCGAATCTCATCTTCAGTAAGCATTAGATGTAAAAAGCACACCTTCATGATCCAACACACGACGGTGCCAGTACACAACATCATATCACATAACATTGCCCCCAAACATGTCTTGGTCTCGACATTGATTCTAATGTCAACAGTGTTACAAATAAATTCCTTGGCTGCGTAGCAGAAGCCCAGTGACTTGCCTCCACGAATGCGTCCGGATATTCTCTATCATCGTCAAGTAATCTCAACGCATAACATGCATCACGATATGATTCATGAAAAATGCCATTTATAGTTTTGATATCATCATAACAGGTAGCGCCGCGCACTATATTCAGAAGACATCTCAGATAATACGGTTCACTTGTACCTGGAGGAACGTAGCTCAAACTCCCTATCATAAAACCTCTCTTTAGAGGTTCATATTCTCTTTTGTCAGATTTCTAACCAAATTTTTATGGAAGTTCACCATATGTTAGATTTCGTGTATGGAGATACTTTTTATTTACACTCATCCATGCCAGAAACTTACTCTCTTTAATTCTTTCTTGTCAGACGACTTCAGAGGTATTATCATCGTCTTCAAAAAAAATCATTTGTTCATCCGGCAAGTAAAAGCTCAAGCATTCGACACTCGGATTTTTATACTGCATCTCATATCCAAAGATTCTCCACATAGCTTCATATGGACAAACATATTTACAATCATAGTAGAGTTTGATGTCGTTCGTCTCATCTATTGCTAAATTAGCAGAACTATTGGAGTTTACATAAAAAATAGCAGTGATTAGATCATGATCTTTGTTGATATACTTAAACAAATACTTGATGGAACATGTTTGGTTACACCATTCGACATTCAAATGCGCGCCATATTTCATCAGTAAGTACCTATTATGTGGTACGACAAAACGACTATCCAAAATAACGCCGTTTTTTCAAGAGTTTGTCCATCATTACATGTTATATACCTAGCATATCCATCGTCATCAATGATAGTATCATTATTGAATTCTTTTGGAAAATGTCTAGCACATCTACCATTATCCACGAAAGGGGCGTATGGTGCAAATGGTCCGCAAGGGCCATGAACCATAAAATCAGAGACTGCTTGAAAATATTTAAGATCCAAATCTTTATTAGGGAGCTTAGCAGAAATTGTTTTTTCAATATCCTGAGGGGTTGGACTTTTGTTTTGTTGGCCTATGAATAATGATATATGCGCATGGGGTAATCCTCACTTCTGAAACTCAATGGTATAAATAACTGCATTGAAAAATAATTTTAAAGCTTTATTGAAACTCTATGTATGCGAATGTTGACGTAAAGTAGGAAAAAGGAAATTAGTGTGTCGTACATGCCCGAACTATACCGAAAAGTTTTTTTCTTATGAAGTTCTTTTACGAGCGCATGCATTTAATTTGATATGGAACACTCTGAAACATATATCTGGATGATCTTTTGGCTTTAGACTTCTTTGTTTAAAAAGGAGAGTAATTTCTGGCCACTTTGGATTACATGTAGATGTCAAGAATAAATTAGGACAACCAGCCCATCCACAAATTGCCATAACATCTTTATAAATTACCAACAAAGATTGACGGAAGAACTATTCTCTTACCTGTGACCGAAGCATCAATGTCCCCATGGTATAGTGAGTCTGACAATCGAAAATACATCTCACATCTGAGTTTCTTCTGGTGGGTACGATATCACCCAAATTTGAGAAATATCATTATGAGGATTTGATATTTCTCTTAATCATTGACCATTCTCCACCACTGGCTACCATTGTCACCGCCAACAACCTTCGTTGCCGGTCACCCCCTCATATCACTTATTAAATCATAATTTTAAATCTATTCAAACAACTATAAAATGGGTTTTAAGATATGTAAAAATATATTTAAGTGACAAAATAATATTTCAAAAAGATATAAAAACCTTTATTTGAGCCTAAAGAGAAAAAAATGTGTTGTTCTCTCAAGAAATTATAACTAATGACCCTCGTCTTCAAATCTCTCGTCTTGAAATTTTGTTCTTGAAGTTTTATTCAAGTAATTTACTTTGCCTTTTGACTTTGATCACTTTGAGATTGTTTATCATTTTTCAAAATCTATCGAGAAAATATATTTTAGCAAAAATAAGTTTTGGGCTAATGGCCACTAATGATAAACTATTTGGTGATTTTTTGGGCTCATATTGTTTCTGGTAATTATACGCCACATAAAATATCAGTGTGTTGTTTGTGTGATTGCCTTATCTGCAGTGCCTTGCAAGTAGGAGTCTTGGCCAGTGATGATTCAATTTGGAGCATTGCCCATTGCACTTAAGAAACAACAGAAAAGTCAAACATATGAATTTGCATCCCTTCTAGTGAGCAAACCTGCACCAAATGTCACACACTTTTAGTGATTGTCAATGTGTGTGAACAGTGCAAAATCATATTGTACTTGGAGCAAGGATAAGAAAGCCCGAAAACTGGTAAAGTTTCACTACAAAACTCCACCCAAAAATGAAAAGTAAGATTACTTTGGTGATGTTCGACTACGTAAAGATACATGTTGGTCTCATGGGTTGCATCGAATGAGAAGACATCCCCAAGCATGGTGTGGTTCTTTCTAACTATAATGTCACACCAGAATAACCTTGTTAATTGGATATTGTCATCGACATTATACACACAGTGAAATGTAAAACATGATTCATGCTTTTGAAAAATCTTGTTAATAACCATTTGTGCATCATCGCCAGCAATGTAAGATTTGAGGTTGCATTTAAAAGTTTTGAAATCAATTGCCGTTGCTCTAATATTTTCATAACCATCCTATGGTGTCTGCCCTTTCTTGTGTCCAAGATCAAGACTTATGTTAAAATTTCAGAAAGGGCCTAGAAGGAGCAGACACCATAGGATGATTGTGATGTTCTTCAAAAAATGTAATGAAATAACCGTCGATGCTAGAAAGTCTAAATGTCATGCGTGCCTTACATCCTACACGGTTTGAAATGCATCATCTCTTTTTTTGGGAACAATATCTTCGCACACTTGAATATATGGCCTAGGAAGAGCTAAAACATGTTTTTTACCCCTCGCAGTTGCAAACAACATATTGCTAGAAAATTTCACCATCATATAGCTTTGTGGTCGATCGTACTTTTCTATGTGTCAAAACCATCTAATGATGCATAAAGCTTGTAGAATGTAATATTGTAATCTAAATTTTTTAAAATTATATTAATTCTAAGTTTAGATTCGTCGTGATATGAAAGAGCATACCCTTCGTCGCACAAGAGTTAGCCGTCCGTCTGCATTGATGAACCATCATTTAGCAACAACATCAAAGCATGGACAGTTTAAAAATAAGAAAACCCCCTAAATAGGAGTAAAACATTAAGCTTAACCCTAATATAAGAGTCCATAGATTATATACCCAAAATAGGAGTTATTACAGTCCTCTTTAACGGTGGTTTGTAATCCTCCGTCTCTTTCTTTTCTTCGGTTCAGCAATCCTTCGTCTCTTCCTTTTTCATCTCTTTCATATCAGCTGCCCAGCGGCAACTGTTCTTCGCTGCTTCGTTGCTTGCGACACACTATTGATTGTTCTATTTCGCTTTTCAATTCCCCCTCATCTGCGAGTTTATTGTGTCAATTTCAATTCGATTTTCAATTCCCCCTCATCTTCGATTTTATTGTTTGTAATTTGGAGTTCTCATTCGCCATAGCCATACTTTGCAATAGGTCAGTTTCTTCTCATAACCTTCGATTTTATGAATTCTCATAACTCTACGATTTATGATTCTAGTTTCTGCATTACATTTTATATTTTACAAGCATAATTCTCATACATCTTTGAATGTGTTATGCTGTTTTGTTAATTGAGTGTATTTAGAGTCAGTACTTCACTGCCAAACATATACTATAATTATCTTATGTTTTTTATTCATCTGTAGTTGTATCCTTTACTTTTGGTGGCACACCAGATGTGGATAATGGTTAATGTTGATGGAAACTGGTCTCCTAATAATATTTTTATTTCTAAGTACACAATTGGAGTCCCAAATCCAAATAACAACTCATTCCAAGATTTAATGTTGCATCTGAAATGCGTAATTTGCAAGGAACGTTTTCGTGTTTCATATGCTGTTGGATCCATTCTTCCTCCTGTGAATATAGATGATGAGAGTAGCTTCCAATTTTATATGCAATTGAAGTGCATTGAGTGTGATTTTACAAAGCTTTCATTGTGCATTGAATTTGACACAAACAATACAAGCTCATGTTTTGAAGCTGTGCCATTCTATCGAGAAAGTTATATCAAATCACAGGGTGTCATAATGTCACAGTTTAATGAGTTTGGCAATATTATTGATGCATCTTCTTCCACTTTTCCTGTTCCTTCTGTTGGTACTTCCTAGAGTCTTCTTCTTACCCAATTCACACAACCTTTGTCCTTATCAAGTGAAGATGTCTGTATTGCTGAAAGCACAGATTCTGTGTCAGTGGAATCCACACCTAATGTTGTTATTTCTCATTACCATCCAACAACTATTCACATGGATTGCATATACAAGTCAAAGATGGACCTTTAGCATCATTTGCAAATGTTTTCCATTGTTAATAACTTCCAGTTCAGAACTGTAACTTCAACGAAGACATCCTATCATGTCGTGTGTGTTGATGCTAATTGTAAATGGGCCCTTCGTGCTGTACGCGTATGTGGTACAAGTTTATTCCAAATTAGAAGGTATATTTACATTTTGAAGTCTTATTTGACCCTCTTAGTTGAATAGGTATATACACATGCGCACACACATATATATCTGACATTTGGGCCCTTTTGTGTCTTAGGTTTGACTCAGAACATTTCTGTCCTGTTGACTTTCGTGAAGGCAATCATAGACAGGCAACATCTACCCTTTTAGCAGACTTGGTTGCACATCGTTATGCAGATGCTTCGAAAAAGCCGAACCAACCTATTGACCTTATGGACGACATGAGGAGGGAATATGGGATAACTATGTCTTATATGAAGGCTTTGGTAGTTAAAAGAAAAGCGATGAGCAAACTCTATGGTTCAGATGATGAATCGTACCGCTTGTTGCCTGCGATGTGCTATATGCTTGAGAAAAATAACTCGGGTTCTGTTATATCTCTCACAACATGTGAAGATGGAAAATTTAAGAATATGTTCTTATCGCTTTGTGCGTGGAGGCAAGCATGGATTCATTGTTTTCCAATCCTTATTATAGATGGGACTTTTATGAAGGCTTACTTTCGTGGAACACTGCTAATTTGTTTGCAGTAGATAAGGTGTTTCCTTCCATTCCTCATTGCTATTGTACTGAACATATATTGCGCAATCTCAAAGGGAAATTTAAGGGCAAATCAGAATCAATTGAGTGGAAGTTCAGAGCTGCTTCTCGGGCTACTACTGTTGAAGAGTGTGAGGAGTATCTTTTAATGTTGGATGAGGATGATCCACATATACAGGTATACCTTGATAAAATTGGAGTTGCAAAGTGGTCTTGATATAAAAGTCCAACATCATGTTACTCCTCCATGACTTCAAATTTGGCTGAGTCAATGAACAATGTCAATAAAAATGCACAGGATTATTCTATAGCAAAATTGGTTGAATTCCTTCGTGGTAGGATGCAACGATGGTTCCATGAAAGGGCTGAGATTGCTAGTTCCACACGTACTCCTCTTCCAAAGAAGCGCGAGAATGAACTGATTCAGTTGCAACGTGATGCATTTCGGATGAAGGTCTGTTATTTTAAGAGTAGAATATTTACTGTTTCATGCCTTTATTTTTCATCATTCTTTGAATGCAGTTGAGAATATAAAGTAGTTTTCTTGGGCACTACATTACTTATTATCAACTCACTATTATCTGTGGTGTGTAGGTCAATGCCTCATGTTCATATGAGTTTGAGGTTACTGATAATGATTCTCGATCATTCATTGTCAACCTAAAGGAAAAGACTTGCACGTGCTGCGAGTTCCAACTTAATAAATTTGTATATGTGCATGCTGTTGCGGCGATTGGTAAACGCCCTGGGTTATCCTGCTACGAATTTATTTCCACCTTTTACAAATTGGAAGCATTGGTGTGCACATATGCTGGAATTGATCATCCTATTGGTGATGTGTCTGGATGGGTGATTCTTCAAGAGATTCTATCAAGGAAATGTGACCCTCCATCCTACAACAAGCGCCCTCGTGGAAGACCTAAGAAGAAAAGGTATCCTTCTGCAGGGGAGTTCCGTTATGGCAAACGTAGAGTGAAGCAAAGATGTTCGAGGTGCAAGTCTCATGGCCACAACATGAAATCATGCACCAATCCAATTCCAATGGCAGATGCAGCTCTTATTTAAGAGTTGTTTAGTATCATTTACTTTATCTTTTCCAACTATGTGTATTTCAATTTGAGATGTTCTTATTACGAATATGGATGCTTTAATGTTTTATGTTCTTTTTGTTGAACAATATGATCCTTGAACTCCACGCTTTATATTCAATAACCAAATACTTGTTACATTTAAACACAATTTCAAGAGTTACACTTTATACGTCCATACATGACTCCATAAAATGGAATTTATTTCACTAGAATAAATTTAAACAATACATTTAACACCACAGAGTGTCGTCTTTTTTCAGAGTACTCTTGTAATTTCAAATTTCTGTTTTATTCTCTATTTGTATTTCTTAACACATTGTATTGATTGTTGAATACTACCACATTGCCTTCCGATTTTTTGACACAATTTAAATAAATGCACTTTATACTTCCATAGATGAATACGTAAAGAGGAAATTATTTCATTGGAATTGATTTAAACAACACGTTTAACACAACACAATTTCAACAGTTTCACTTTCACATTACTTCAAAACACAACAAAGGCACATGTACCCAAACACAGAGTTCTAGTACATGATGAAACTAAGTCACAATGCAATATGCCAATGACCATCACTAACCATATGCATTGTTCTCATACACCAAACGTTTCATCATACAAAGCAAAATATAGCAATAGAGTTTTCAACCAGCTCAATACACAAAACAGATAATAACATCAATATCTTTTATAGTCACTCCTTTGCAGCCATATTTGACTCTGCAAATCGAACTAGCTCTGTAGCCATCTTCATTCTATATGCTGCCATGTCATCTGTACGAATGTCCTTAATGTCCATATCCATCATGAGGTACTCTACAATTTTAAGCACAAACATACCACAATTCCCACTGCAAAAATCAAGAAATATATTAGGAGATCCTATTTAAAAGATTTACAGAAAAAATCTCTCAACTACAATGTTTTGTTTTATATGTTGATACTTACGCATCAGTCTGTTGTGGGCAAAAATCTACAGCCTTCAAATGAAGCTTGTTGTCTCCCATTGGTCCAGTAGGATGATTAATGTAGACATCACACAAATCCATTAACTTGGGTAGAAGGCATTTGATGCAAGTGCTATATTCAGCAATCTCTTTAAGAGATCTCCCTCCCTTTGAATTATAAACCCATACTATTTTGGACTCCACCGCTGCACTAGCAGCACCCAATGTCCCCCAGTATTCAGGGGCATATAGACAAAATCTGATCGGGCCCATGGGAAAGCACACTTTCTTGCAAAACCAAACACTTCAGCTATCAAGTTTGAAACGCTTCCAACATCTTCTTTGGTTTTAATTTTCTTGTCAATGTCGTCTTGATGCCGCTTAAGACATTCCAGGAAAAAAGGTGTCACAGTTAAGTATGTTTGTGTGAGCTTGTAGTTGAATCTTTTCTCCTCCAAGTAAAACATGCCAACCTCCATATGCTGTTATGGGTAAAGGAAAACAATATCAGGTCAGTATTTATCGAAAATGCTACATACAGTGTCATTACAATTGGAAATGTTATTTTGAAAAACAACTTACCAGTGTATCCAGCCACTCTTGATCCATGAAGAGATCATAAAGCCATGTTTTGCTGCTGATTATGAACTTATCCAGTATGATAGGCTTCTTTGTCATGTTTTCATCTCCTTTTGTATAAATCTTTCTCACTCCTGTTCTGGCCTTAGGGTGTAGGCTGAATGGTCCAATCACGACTTCCATTTGACTCAAAGTTACTTCAAACTTGCTCTTCACAGCTTCCTTCATTTTCTGTGTCTTCTTTGGCACCTTTCGCCCTGAAAGTGAGAGCTTTTGGGGCTCTTTAGTTTGCCTCTTACCCACCGGGATGTCTGGCCCAGATAAAACATCAAGAATTTTTTTTGTACAAAATTTTTTTAAAAAAAACATTGAACTCTTTTTTAATATTTAAAATAAAATAACCAATCACCACATTTATATAGAAAGCATAATAGAGACATTGTTGCATAATTAATAAACTCATCATACTGATTCATTAAACGAGTATCGATTTTTGTTTAAAAGAGGTGAGTGAATTAAACTATTATACATGAATTATAGAAAACTTTAAAATTTATATTGGCTAGGTAATTAATTATAAAGTAAATATATTTGATGAGTATGGGCGGGCCTATTGGCCTAGATGGGCTAAAAGTAACTTCCAGATCCGCCCATATACAATTCGAGCTTGGGCCGACCCGCCCATTTCTGCTGCAAAACAATATAAATAGTTACACTGTTTACAGCCAAATCTAACTTGATACACAGACAATTATATACTCTGTCACACTGCACAGTTCCATTTAACACAGTATACTTTGTCACAGCGCACAGTGCCATCTAACACAATACTCTTAATGAATTAACACTTTCACATCATCAGAATCCTTTATACCATTTAGTTAGTATTTTATTCTAAGAATGTTTACTTACAGTGATTCCTTGTTTATGAATTGTAGAATCCATTTGCACTTTCTCAAAATTTGCATTTGTTGCGGGCTCCATATCAGATCCACCTTCCTTCTCAAAGATCTGCATGGCAATAATAATGATAACACAGTTTCACATATTCACAATATACTATCATATTTAATACAAGAGTAAATGGTCTTACATTTCCTTCAATTGTGCCTTTCAAAATAGCATTCACTTCATTGTCCAGTGGTTCAAGGAACTAATCACTGAACTGTGTTTCAGACAACTTAGGCAAAGTCTCAATGCTTCTTTCATCTCTCATACCTTCTTTGATTTTATCATCTCCCTCATTACTGACTGTGGTGTCAACATGACCAAGATCAGTGTCATCATGTTTGGAAGTAGCATCCTTTCCCACATCTTCATGGTCAGTGCCATCTTGTTCCAAAATAGTATCCTTCCCCATGTTTTTATTTTCCATGTCTTCACTCTCAACATTTTCATTTTCATTGACAATTTCATCATCTATCTTTTTAAAACCCCTCTCCTCTGTATCATCTCCCTTTTGTCTTTCTAATTGCTCAAGGATCATCTTCAGCACTTTCCATTGGCTTTCCTACATTTTTTTCATGTCATTGAGAATTGTTATAATCTGAGTCTGACTCTCCTTCTTCCTCTCAGATTCTCTTTTTGGAAGAAATTCCCCTTTCATGCAGTGACTAATTCTCTTTCTCTTCTTTTTTGGCTTGTTTTTGGCATTTCCAGTTGTTGAAAGTTTCCTTTTCTTAGCACTACCAACACTCATATTTCTTGCTAGAGTTGCACCCTTTTCTGAGCTCTCAATATGTTGCACAGTGTCATCTATCCCCCTTCTTATGTATTCACTAGCAGATAATGCCAATAAAGGATCATTTAACTCCCTCTCACTTGGAACAATCTTTGACACTTCAAACTGTGTAAAATAATAAAAAAATATATTAATATAATCCAGATTTACTACACATTCTCATAAAAAGAGAATTCCATAGAATACTAACCTCTGGATTTTCAAATATGGCTTCCTGAAGAAACTGTCCTGAAATCTTTGCATAAATCTCCCACCTTAGGCAACATGGAATCCAATCTTCTCTTCCTTTTACAACTTGACAATGCCCTGACTCTCTCAAATAAGAAAAATTCTCAATTGCTGATACCTGTAAGGCAAAGACAAACCCTCCAAACGTCACTTTTCCCCTTCCACGAGCTTTAAGGGATTGTGCACATCTCCCAGCATGTGTTAACAACTCTTCCCATATGTCTTCACCCCATGTGAATTTATTGAATGCATCCAAATCATCTACTAGGTTAATGTATCTAATAGAAAAAGTAACACATGGCTGGTGCCCAAACATAACATTGCCCAACAGATGCAGCAATGCTAGCTTTACAACATCATCACTTTCTACTGCGGGGTCATCTCTGTTGTGCTGCAGCAGTGCATCCGTAATATGACATCGCTGAACAGATTTCCCCGTATTGAAATACCTTAACCCGAAGCCACCCAACCTTTCATCATTCAAAGTTATCCTATTCCCTCCGCTTCCCAGTCCTGCGATAAGTTCCAAATCTGGCTTTGTGAACAAGACTTTTCTCCCCTTTATTTTGAACTTCATTTCTTTACATCCAGTTATTCCTTGCTTTGGAAACTTGTACCTTTCTAATAGACCAACTAAGAGCCCATTACTAATCCATCTAACTTCAGGAACATCCAACAGTTTTAAAAAAATCGTGCCTCTAAAGACTTCAAGCTCCTCCTTTCTAAACACGCCTTTAATTCTACGTACGGTCTCAAGCACATTACAATAAGTGTTACTTCTTCCTTCTTTAGGCTGTGCTCTATCACCTTTCTTTACAAATTTATGTGATACCTGTATTGTAACACCCTAATCCGTCCAGGTCTGCAGCCCCTTTCGGACTAAAGTATTTAACTTGGTAATCGTAAAATTTAAAACTTTTCAAACACACTTTATTAATCTCAATAATATTTTTCATAACATATACAGTACGGAGTATTTAACAATATTGCGGAAGCGAACTTAATATTGACATATCATAAATCATTTCAAACTTGTCACATCCATCCCGACAATCTCGCCCCATCTGCCGTCAGGATCACATTAATCTTTCTGTTTACCTGCGTGTAGCAAATAAAACACACTACACGCTCAGCGGTAAAGCTGAGTAAGCATATTTAATGCGTTGAACGTCCATATAAACTGAATCTAAATTCATAATCAAATCTTTTGATATCATGCACACAATGTTCGTTTCAGACATTCAGAGTTTTGATATTATTCAGTTCATATCAACACATTTTATTCAATTCAGATACTATTTCAATAGTGCTCTTAAATTTTTCTCAATCTAAGGCCAGATCATAACAACGCTCTTAGCTATTCTTAGTCTAAGGCCAGGTCATAATAATGCTCTTAGCTATTCTTAGTCTAAGGCCAAATCATAATTTCATTCTCAGACGCTTAAACTATAATTAGTTTAAGGCAA